TTCTGGCTCACTTTTATGTTATAATTTGGGTGTAATTTTATTTTATTATATGTTGTCTTTATGGTTGTTATGTCTTGTTCATGGTTACCCTGCACGTGTCTTGTTCATGGTCTTTTTTACTTGTGTTTCTTGATTTCTTCTAGTGTTGATAGCCCTCTGTGTTGTTACAGTTTCCTAGTCACTGATGTCTGTAAATTGTAATTTACTCCACCTGTTCCTTGTTGCCCCAAGCCCTTAGTGATTGGTTGATTTGGTTATGGTTCTCACCTGTTCCTTGTTGCCCCGAGCCCTTAGTGATTGGTTGATTTGGTTATGGTTCTCACCTGTCCTGTGTCGTGTCTTGTTTGTAGTGTATTTAAGTGCCTGTTCTTCTTCTGGTTCATTGGGGCTGTTTCCCTGTGTTATTGTGTGCTTCTTAATTTTAGATACCGTGTGTTTGTTATTGTAGGTTCCTGTGTTTGTTATTGTAGGTTCCTGTGTTTGGTATTGTAGGTTCCTGTGTTTGGTATTGTAGGTTCCTGTGTTTGTTATTGTAGGTTCCTGTGTTTGTTATTGTAGGTTCCTGTGTTTGTTATTGTAGGTTCCTGTGTTTGTTATTGTANTCCTGTGTTTGTTATTGTAGGTTCCTGTGTTTGTTATTGTAGGTTCCTGTGTTTGTTATTGTAGGTTCCTGTGTTTGTTATTGTAGGTTCCTGTGCTTGTTATTGTAGGTTCCTGTGCTTGTTATTGTAGGTTCCTGTGCTTGTTATTGTAGGTTCCTGTGTTCATACCTACCTTGGCATTGTTGTTCCTGATGTTGCTCCTGCCTTAGTTTAATTTTCACCCCTTGTAGTCTCTGTTTTCATTTTCTCCTTTGATGTTCTGTTTTGCTAATAAATCCCTATCTTGTCGGAGTTGCTCCGTGGATAGTCTCTTCCTCTGGCATGTCCCGCCTTAACACACTCTTATAATACAACTCCTATCACCTCCCTATTTGGCCATCGTGCCATTTTCAGCCAATGCTCACCTACTGATCCATTTGGATGGCTCTAATCCAGAGGAGATGTGCTGTTGATCATGGGGGGTTCCCTAGGGAACCTCAAATGACATAAAGCCACTCTTTGCATATTCCGTGAAGAAAACAGATTTGGTATGAGGATCTGTGATATACTGGCATTGCTGCCTCATCCCTGAAAAGTCTGTTTCCTGTTGCCTGGGGAAATTCTGCAAACAGGGAAATGGGAGGGAAAATGGATGAAATCAGGTAGCACAGTCAGGACCATCAGCAGTCACGCTTTCCTTTAGATCAGCGATGGCACACGCAGGAATAAGCATCATGTACCTGATGTCAAGATGTTTCAAAGTCAAAAAATGCATCATCTTATTGCTTTGTTTTTTCACCTTTCTTGTGATGCTACTCTTTCTTTGGGTGGGTGGATTGAAGTAGCAGACATGCAGCCTGGAATGAAACTGCACTTCCACTCTATGAGCTCCATTCTGTACTCACTACATGAGATTCTGCCTTGTACCTAGTATCTACACAGATTGTTAGAAAGTGGCTTTTGAAAGCAGACCAGTAATTTGCAGAGCTCAACATCCTTAAATCCAGCAATGTGTGTGTGTGTGTGTGGGGGGGGGGAGTTGGGTGTGAGGTCCCTGAGCACCTGCCCCTTTTGCCCATTGAAAATGCCCCCCTTTTAAGGTTCTTAGTGCCCCTTTTCGATAACCGGCACATTTACCAAGAGGACCCCCCCCCTCCCCCACTGGAGCTTGTGCACGGCACTGCTTAATCCTGTCAATGTTGTTAAAAAGTAAGGCTTTGGTCTGGACAGAACCCGACCGTCTGCTGCATATCCAATGCCCACGTTTGAGTTTCTGCATCTTTCAGATTTTTAACAAGCAGCTGGACCAAGTTCATGGCAAGACAGGCTTTTCTGAGGCCCTTGGGAGGCATCAGGGGAGCCCTGGGGATGCATCAGGGGAGCCCTGGGGAGCATCAGGGGAGCCCTGGGGAGGCATCAGGGGAGCCCTGGGGAGCATCAGGGGAGCCCTGGGGAGCATCAGGGGAGCCCTGGGGAGGCATCTGGAGAGCCCTGGGGAGGCATCAGGGGAGCCCTGGGGAGCATCAGGGGAGCCCTGGGGAGGCATCTGGAGAGTCCTGGGGAGGCATCAGGGGAGCCCTGGGGAGCATCAGGGGAGCCCTGGGGAGCCCCCATAATCAGAGACACACCAACTCTGATTTAACACCTCCAGTGGCATCATGTCACTCCGCCACACATCTGTTTTAGATATGTGTGACATATCGTAAATATAGCTGAGATCCTTCTGTCTCTGATTACCACCCACTTTCTTAGCGCCTACAGCGGCATCATGTGGCTTCCCAGGTGAACCCCCATTTTCAGTGCCATGGCACATCTGCTTTACATAAGTATGACATCATGCACACGCGTGGGAAGGCCGCACACAGGGCATCCGGTGCCCCCTAGGTGTCCCCTCATTATCAATCACTTTGACACGTCTGTATAATGTTACTCCCTGATACAGACCCCAAGGCAGACCCCACGCTTCTCCCACCAAGGTTTGCAGTCATCAAAGGTTCCCCCCTGGTGTGTTTGCTGGGCTGCTGCTGACGGAACCCGCATGGTGTCACAGCAGCTGCTAGCCATAGCCTGTGATCCAGGCTGGGTGACTCCACACAGAACTTGCTGTCCAAATCTCACTAGTGTAGAGGGTCGCTTGTACAGGCAAGGCACCACACTGAACACGCGCTTCACTTTGGTGTTCCAGACAAGAATATACAAACGATATACAAGGCAGAGCTTTGTGGCCTGGCATTCTCACACACCCACACACAGGTGACGGCTGAGGTGAGCTAATCCCCAAAACAGTAAAAAACACCTCATTCCAAATAGTTCAACGATTTCTTAAAGTGACCAAAGTAGTATTTGAAGTAGCAGTGGCTGGTAGCATTGCTGTTAATTAAGGTATTTTTGGACAACATGGAAAACTGGAAGGCTGTCAGTTAAACTCTAGTACCTTTTAGTTAAATATCTAACCTGAGTGGCAAATGGCAACTTTGTTAAAAACCTCGAAGCCTCAAGTCCCCTAGACATATCTATGCAGTACTGACAATAATGAGAGAAAACATTATATTACCCAGATGAACAAAGTTGCATTTACAGTAACCTGACCCAGTGCCCCAATGAAAAGCGACGTCTCAAACAAAAACACGGTGGAGAGAAGCTTCAGCTTGTAGTTAAAAAGAGTGACAAATTCAATGGACACCATAAGCATTGTGTAAATCTGACCAATAGCTATTATTATGATTTAGAAGCAAGTCAGGTTGCATTTCAAGAGTAATCAACGAAAAACCCAGACAATTCAATACAGCCTGTAGACTTTGTTCCAAAACATAAGAAAAAATATCGTAAATGTTATTATACAGTGTTTTTCTGTGTGTGTGTGTGAGGGGTTGGGCAGTTAGCATATGAAAATGCAGTGGGATGACTTTCTGTGAAAGAGGAGAAGTGGTTGAACAAAAAGACAATGAAGGGGGGGGCAATGCCAGCTGGTGTCAGACCCGCAGCAGAGCATGTGGCCCCACAAACCAGCACCACTGACTGGACAGCATTGTCTGTACTTCCCCAGCAAACACTGTTATCTAATAAAGAGTTTTAATGTTATATTTGTATTCAAAATTTACTCAAGAAACAAGATTTATCCCCCTTTATTATAAGGGTAATGATCAGACTGCTGATGGTTGCCTGTCACTTTGTGTGATGAGAAATGTCTGAATTGACCTCTATTTACAATACTCACTGAAACATATTAGTGAGTGAGAAAATGCAACAGGCTCTAAAACCAGGGCTGCATAGTTAGGTATATGTGGACACATCATCGGCATGCCCCATTGTTTTTTTAACAGTTACAGCGCTGTTTGCAATGAAATGATAACAGGACACAGATGTACATGCAGTTTGTTCCCCCTGTGTTTGCATGGGTTCTCTGTGGGAACTCCAGTTCACGCAGCCCACAGTCCATGAATTGGTGGATCCTAATTGCCCACTGTGTACTATGCATGGCTGTGTGCGTGTACCCTGAGATGCCCACTGTGTACTATGCATGGCTGTGTGCGTGTACCCTGAGATGGTCTGGCCTCCCACCCAAGGTGTCCGCTGCCTTGTGCTCCAGGCCTGTCACAACACGGAGGCAAGGATTATTCTGCTAAGAGCTGTCATCATCTTTTTGCTTATTTCTGTCTATTCTATTTTGTTTTATTACATACTTTTATGCTATTTTTGTTTATTTATTCTGTGTGTGTGTGTGTGTGTGTGTGTGTGTGTGTGCAGCTCCAGGAACCCTGAGATCCTGTGCTAGATAACTGATTATGGAAGATGGATGGATAAAACTAAACTGTTCTTCCCCCAACTGCATGTTTTTGCTTTGTTTCATTTTTATTTCCTAGTTTGCGTCCTGGAAGTGGCTTGTGCTTGGCGTTTACCATGCTTGTTGTATTTATTTATAACTTAGTAGTAAGACACAAGACAAGTGGAGATTTCTAGTGAAACAGCATTGTAGTATGATTGCTTACTAATCATCAGTAATACAGCATCCTGAGCACATATGCAATATTTTGCATTGTGTACTGCAAATACTGTTTGCATGACAAAACACATGCACAAATAAAAACAGATGCCTGGAGTTATAAAAATACAGTCATCATTGCTGCTATTTTCCTGGTTTATCCACTCTAAATATGATTCTGGGCAACTGATTTTCTCTTTAAAATATGCAATTTTAACATGTCTACAACAAGTTTAGTATAATAATAATAGTTATTGAAAACATAAAAATGACATTGAAATAAGAAACGTGAGATGAATTTAAGAAAAACAGAGAAATATTTTTTGCAAATTAAGTGTAGAACTTTATTTGAATTTCAAATATTCATGTTAAGTCACATTTGAAATCATACCACTTAGCAGTTTCATCCATCAGCAATCGATGTTCTAACACACAGTGCTTACAGCTCACCTCTTTGCACAGACCCACCTTATAAAAGTTAACTGTGCAAATACAACACAAATAAAACAACCCCTGGGGTTTACAAAGGTGTTTTTTTACAACCCATGTCATGCTCGTTTAACCCCCAAAGGAGAATTAAATATAACACAGAATTCATATTTTTTTCACAGCCCGTGAACTCGAGTCAATGAATCGCAACTTGTCATTGAAATACTTCAGCATGTATACATTACAGTGCACTGCTATGTTGTCCTATTAGACTTGTGACAATGTCTTTGCATCCTTTTTCCCTTAAGTGCATACAAATACAATTCTTCACATTTAGGTGGGTCTCATTGCTAACATTTAATCTACCAAGGTCTCCACATGTTAGTACTTATAGCTTGTGCCATTGGCTGCGGCTGGTTCACATACAGAATGCTGCTGTTTGCATTCCTGCTGGAATCGCGACGGGAGCCTCCAGTGCCTGTAGACGCTACCCTCACAGCTCCAGTGCTCATTTGGGGGGGTCCTTGATAGTTCTGCCCCCTACACTTGCAGTTCTGGCAAGAAGGAGCGTCCCACATCAACATGGAGTGTTTGAGGTACTCGTTTACCCGCTGGCTGGTGTCTTGGTCAAGAAGATTGGTTGTGGAGAGTAAGGTTGAGATGCGCTGACGGCATGCTTTGTAGCCCTCTTTGTAACTTTCAGATGGACCTAGAATAGAGTGGCTTTGCTTTAGTATTGCATTTCAAAAGGACGCTGAAAACTAGGTAATCGTGGACGACAACAGAAAACTACAGAAGACACTCACTTTTAGCTGAAGTAGACGGAAGCCGTCTGAGAAATCGTACGGTCATCTCCAGAATATCCGCTTTCTCAAATTTCGAGTGGCGAGATTTCTGTAACAGAGAACAAGTAACAGAAAAAGATTAATGTTAGAGGGTTAAAATGTTTTCATATATTATAACATTGTTGCTTTCAAACAAAACAAAAAAATCAATGTAACAATTATTCAACAAAACAAATAATAATACGCGTACTTACATCTTTGCCAACCAAACGCAGAATAAGCGTCTTCAGTTGTTCGAGGTTTTCGTTGATACGCGCGCGCCGTCTTTTTTCCATTAACGGCTTCAAAGTCTAAAAAGGATGCAAGTGAATGCAAGTTAAAATCTGAATGCAATGCACCGATGATGCAGCGTAGCAGTCATACTCCCAGCCATCGTTCTTACCTTTCTCAGTTCACTGGTTTCCTTCCTTTTGGCTACTTGTGAGCCGTAGATCTGGGCTGTTGCAGCAGTGATTCGGGTCATGGTTTTGGCAGTGCGCACGTGCTTTCCGAGACGGAGGAGCGCTGCAGTGACTTTGGGGGGGTCAGCCGTAGGTATTTATAGGCGAGCTGAGCGTCAAGAGCGCGGCCCCAAAGCGTCGTCACTCATAGTTTCGACGCGAAAACCTTTGTTTTAAAACCAATTTCATATCACCATCTGTTACTTATGCGATCAAATATAACCTATATTCTATGTTTACGTGTGGTGTTGCTTTGTTACTGGGATATCGACCAAGCAATACTCTTAAGCGCCAAAATACTCAGTCCTGTATGTTTTTCAATATATATATATATATTTACCGAATTCAGACGTTTTATCGGTTACATTAGCTATACATAAATAAACAATAGGTATATTAAAAATAGGTTAAACATATGCCTTCTTCAACAGCCTATGCAGTCGGTAAGACAGAAATTATCAAATCATATACTTTAAAATGTAGATATGTTTGTATAATTTAATGTCTTTAAAATGTTAACATCAACTTTTAAATCTGTATATTACTGTTGCCACATTGTGTTAATGTAAGCTAATGTTAATGTAGGAAATTTGGAAGCTGGGATGAAGGATTCTCCTTGGAATAAAAAAAATGAATTACAGAAGCAGGTCCCCAAGCCAAGCTATATTTAAATTAGATCTCGCATCTGTTTAAACAATTTTTGTCGCTTCTTCTTCGAAGTCTCAGTCAAGGCATCTTCACCTGCGCTGACAGTGCTGGGGGCGGGGGCGCCACGCTGGCCGTCTGTCAAAGCGCTCAAACTTGCAGCTATAAGGTGAATAGCGACACATGTTTTTTAGGATATAATGACGAATGGTTATATTGTAAACAAACAAATATTTAAAAAGGCCTACCGTAGTCATGGTTTCTATTTTTTACATTTTGTCAATTACATAGTTATATGTATAACATTAAAGTTATGATAATATAACTTTGTCCCCAAGGAATACCCTCACGCGTCCGGCACGAGCCACCAATACGCGATGGGCGTGGCTCTCACCATCCCCCACGCCTCCCACTGCTGCGCTATGGGGCAATGTCTGCGCTCGGTTTACGCTTTATTCCTTTGTATATCCGTTTGCAAAACCTATTTTCAAATCAGTTGGCGTCCGTATTCCATCTGCAGCCCTGTCAAGAACGGGGGGAGGTGCAAAACGAGCAGAGAGGCTGAAAGAGTAACGCCTTTATTCTGTTAAATCCATATTATCGCAGTATTCAGTGGCATCATATAGAATAATGTGAAAACACGAACATCAACTAACCCAGTGTGTTAATTTCTACTTTTCTAAGTTTAAAATACAAACAAATTTGCCAGACGAGATCATTTCATTGTAGGAGAGACTCTACGGTGAATAACCTGTGCATATTGGCAGTGCAAACATAACTGAGAGTCGATTTAATCTAGGAAAAAAAACTTACATTACTGTGATTTACAGGAACTCTACAAAAATGCTCGTGATCAAGTAAACGATGTACAGTGGTTCTACTCAAAAGAAATCGCAGGCTGTCCCTTTCTACATGGACTATGCACTGAACAAAGGCACTATTGAAACTGATACAACATTTGCACGCGTCCCTCTTCCCAGGACGCGCGCACTAAGGAGCCACTGCAGCCAGCACGAGCTCCACGGAGTTGGGATATAGTTTAACATTTTTGCGTTTCGGTTATAATTTACTTTGTCTTTCAATGAATTTATAATGGCTACCCCGTCTGAGCACCCTGAAAAATAGCGCTTTTGTCTAAAATTTTCTTTCTAAAATGCGAGAAATAGATATGGTATTTGTAAGTCTGTAAACCGGGGATAGCCTATTAAAATCGTTTGAAATTGGCAAAGTTTTGTTCAACGTAAAACTGCATTATTTATGTTATGACGAACGGCCAACGGTACAATACAAAACTGAGGAACATGCATATTTAAAGCTTGAGAACAACATATAACATCTGTTATAGTCGGTATATTACAACAACCACGGCCATACTCCAGCACTACGCGCGCAATTACCGTTTGTTGAATTGAAATTTAATGAATCTAAAGTTTTAGAATTAGTTATAATTTAACAAATGTCACTATAGTATAGATCAAAGAAACACTATCTAAAGCTGTTCAAACAGCTCCAATACACACAAAAGTATATGTGCCAGAATAAGGGCTCACCAGGCGCAATTTTTTTAAATTATCAAGTATCTATTTAAATGACTCTGTATTCACAAATTGCGTACGCCTAATTTCAAAATTGTCACATCATTTTCAATATTATTTTCACCAAGGACTTTCCAGTTAGGTTTTGCCTAAAAATATTGAACTGATTACGATTCGGCATGAGGCGAGCACGTGCGTCCTCCTCTTCAATGGAAAGTAAACTGGTCCATTTGACATTCAGCATATAGAGACAGTACAATCGTACTGCCATGTTTCTGTTACCGTCATAATGATGTATAAGGGGAATATTAATGAATTCCACTCTTCTCTTTCTGATATGTATTTTATCAGTAAAATTCGTGTTGGTTTACATAAATATATAGTTTGCGTAAAATCCAAGAATAAGCAGCAAAGGTGAGTCACACGTACACCCTGTAAGCGGCCTTCGTGTTCACGTAACTATAACATCAACAAGGCAAGAAAGACGAGAAAAACGAAAGAATCCACCTGCCTTGGCCGGGCGGCAGTGGTACTCAGTCTGATATGCTGACTACATGTTTCTGTGCAGTGGGATCTTCGAGGGGGATACATGGAGGCACGAGCCAAAATCGGACAGAATTGCAGATGAAGTACTCTTTCCTATCTGAGGGTGAGTTGAACTTATTTAGGAATCTATTTTTTCCCAAAGCAAAATATAAACATCTCTTAGTAGCGGGATTACATAAAAATAACTGTGTCAGAAAACTAGGTAGAGAAAAATATTTTTTTCTTGCGGACTTAGATACTTTAATTAATAAAAAGTTTTATATAAGACCAACCAGCAATACATGCTGGTCAAGGCACCGTATGAAGTAGGTTCCATGTGTTATATTTAATGTATCAATATTATTTTTTTGTGAAAATTAAGGTGAAGCGATGCCAGAGAATCACGCTTACCCTAACACACATTGACGGACAATAATCCCACAATACAATTGCCACCATTCTTTTACTCAGTGCTTAAGACAATATAACATTCTTAGGTGGAAGCACAAGTCATTGGTCATATTCTAAGGCGTACACATGTTCTTTTATAAACAAAATCATTTCGTTTTGTTTCCTCTTCTTGTTGTTAAATTTGCTTTTACGCAGCTAAATCATTTACACAGTACACCTGCAATTTACATTGTACAGCGAAATGCACAGTTAACGAAAGACCTACAAAAACCAGAGAAACCGCTCTTTTCTACAACCCTCTAATGTTGTATGACTGCTGTCGTTTTTCTCTTAGGAAAGTATGGATTGACTGGTGCGCAAGTGGTCAAGGGATCAATGTTCCATTTCACTGCATGTTCCAGGTTTGTTTTAAGTTGTGTAATGTACGCTTCTAGTTTTAGTGTAGTTTAGTAATGCAATGGATCACACACACACACACACACACACACACACACATGGACTGAACTGCCTGCAGTTAGCATGGTTGCGCGTATAGCCTACTAAATGCTAACTGAAAATATGATCAGATATGTGAAGGTCGGCTTCCCAAGTAATAACCAACACTCAAAGACATAAAAACATCTGTCACACTGCAGAAGTTCGAGTGAGACAAATCTTTTTTTCAGCTTGAAACTGCTTATTTGCACACCTCAGCTGAATGTCTGCCAAACATGGTGTATATATATATATATGTATATATATATTCTTTATAACGCACCATGGGGGACCTGTGTGGAACGACATTTCAATACACTGTATACTGGGTATATTGTTGTATTGACAATAAACAGATCTTGAATCTTGAATGACGTCACTCAATTGGGGCACGTAGCTACAGCCCAGTCTTTATGTACCAAGCATCATTTGCAGCGTAACGCTAAACCATATTCACTTCACGATAAATTAACAAAATTGACATTTTACATCCTTTCTTTTAATTCAGTCCCCATTATGTTCAACATATTTTAATGTTTATCTAACTGTAGATGTGACACAAGGGCCACGTAGTCTGCAGATTATATATCTTTAAAACCATCAAAGCGCGTGAACCTCTCTCCGAGTTAAATAGAAAACTATAGATTTAAATTTAGCCCCTCCCAAAATCTTTCCCAATTAAAAATACCCAAGCCAAAACCCAAGCCAAATCATGTACACATCTGGTTATCCGCCTTCAAGTTTTTTTAACAAAAGCATGTTGTCTCTTAAAAAGAGACAAACCATAAAAATAAGGTTGTGGCGTCAGACGCGTGAAATCTCTGCCCAACCTCCAAACCTGACTTCCTCGGCGGCTGTACTCCTACTAACACACTTAACGAGTATTAGAGGCGCCTCTCGTTATAAAAGTTATTTTTTAAAATATTCTCTTAAGCGGTCGTGTTAAGTAAACTTATAATATAAACAGAAATGTGATTTATAAAATATACCTACAACATGCAAATCGTAGACGTAAGTAATAGCAGATCTTATCCTACTTATAGATTTTTACATAGGCTGCTCACTGGCGCGACTTTCAAATGCTACATTTTCTCGTGGGCGGAGGCACCCAAGCCGCCTCCCTTTGTAACCAGGAGGCAGTGGATATAGCCGGCACGCGATCGGCACGAGCCATGAGAATAATAGGCCAGATGGTCCACTTCTAACAGGAATTATACAGTAGGCCTACTTGAAGGGGATTCAAATATCACATATTTCATATGAAAAATGCTAGTAAAATTATTCTTTTCGTTTGTTTTATTACAAACTACGGAGTGCAGACTTTCCTCTTGTTCCTAACATTTATGCAGTTTCTTCTTGGACCGTTTGTTTAATTTCCCCTAAGTCAATATAAAAACAGATCGGGACCGCTGCAACTGCATCTGCTGTTTTAGTTTCCGGAGTAGAAAACGCTGCGCCGGAGC